TGGTAACTCAAATTGCGGTTTGAATCTTCCAACAGCGCTTTGAGCCCTTGATTTGGACTCATTTGGGCTTGGATTAGGTTGATCTTGGTGTTGTTGGATTCGTATTTCCGAGACGCTCAGTTTGACTATAAGCTCGCTGAAATCGGAGTTCATATGCTCCCGAAATTAATTTTTGAAGCTTCCAACTAGTTTTTGCCTCGAGATTCGTGCCCGATCAAGATGATTTTGCGATGTCGTATCAGTCCGTCCATTAAAACCCTCCCGATTCGCCCCTGATCTCACGCATGTTTACAGGCTATGCCACTCCAGAAAAACTATAAATAGAGCCCTCATTCTTCACAAAGGGGGCTCAAGTGAAGAGAGAGAAGAAGAAGAGAAAAAGGGGAAAGAGAGAGTCATCTCCTCCTCGACCAACGTCGGAGCTCTTCCCGCCGCCTAAATACGCCGGGATTCTACCGGACATTCAGGAAAATGCCAGAATTTTGCAAAACTTCCATGTGATGCTGAAATTCTTCCCAATTAACAACAGAGTTTCCTCCTGACGTCAAAACTCCACCCAAGTGAAGTCGGAGTTCTCCTCTGTAAAGATCATGTTTCCTCCCAGGTTCGTCCGGACGAAATTTGATCGTCCTGGACGATCGGTACAGGTTGTGCAGGAAAACGTTTTTGGCTGTATGGTTCGTCTGTACGAAAATCGAATCGTCTGGACAAAATTCTTACAGAGAGCAAGTCGTCCGTGACGATAATTAATTTCGTCTGGACGAAATTTGTCCAGAGCCCAGATCGTCCGGGACGAAGTTTCGATCGTCCGGTACGATCAGTCTGGGTATATATGGAAATAAGATATTTTTGGAAGAAAAGGACGGCCAGGAGAGAAAAATGAAGGAAAGAGGATTTTTGAGCGACTCCGGTCTGTTTTCGTCCGTTGTGGTAGTTAGAGAAGTTGATTGACTTGAGATAAGGCACATTCCGCCTTTCTCAATTTTCAGAATCGTGGATTTTGACGACTTTTCTGTTCCGGATTTTGTTTCCGTTAGCGAATTTTGTGTGTTATTTTCTACTGCTTCAGGTTTTACCGTGTAACTTTTGGTATGTTTCTGAGATGATGATTGTGCACGTTTTGAGTATTTTTTGGAAGATTTTTACCGGATACTTTGGATTCTGAAGTGTTTTAAGTAAATTGCAAATTATCAGGATGTTGAAAAATATTTTGTCAGTACAATGAAAGTCTTATAATATTGTCGTACACATTCTGTGGTAATTTGGTAATTTTCTGATTCTGTGAGTTTGGTGTAAATTCCGTACACTGCCATTATGCCGCTGAATTTTCGTACGATTTCCGAATTTTCTGAAATGAGATGATTGGAATGTTTAATGTGTTTGTGCTATCAGAAGGGAGTTATAAGGGGCCGGAATCCTATGTGATTCCGTTGTCTGGGTCCAGGAAGGGAGACATAAGGGGAAGTTCTGAAATCTGAAATGAGCTCTGAAATCTGAAAATATTCCGGAACCTCTGATATCTGTTCTGTTCTGATGCTATAAGCACAAAGGGAGGCATAAGGGGGCAGAATCCGTTGAGATTCTGTCTGTGTCAGGGTAGGGAGGCATAAGGGCCAAAATCCATTGAGATTCTGTCTATGTCAGGGATATGTGAAATCTGAAATCTGATTTGTTCTATGTGAAATCGGTTATCGGAATTCTGACTTCTGTATGATTTAGTTGCTCTAAAATTCTTATTCTGAATTCTGAAATGAAATATGATTTATCTGATTTCTGGCTATTATGTGATTTGATACGTTCGATTTTCTGAGTTCAAGTCTGATTCATGATTGATCAAATATCTTCTGTTTCGTATACGAATTATGTATAAGTTTCTGAGTGTTATGTGACCAGTATTCTGATATCTGGAAGAAAGTTCTATTCTGTAAAGCTGTAATGTGATTTGATCTGATTTCTGATCTCTGTATGATTTTGATTATACCGTATGATTCTTTCTGCTTTGTGACATGAAAGATTTATAATATCCGATTTGATGTTGATTTCTGAGTGAGATGTTATCTGTTCTGTCTGTTGTACGATTTCTATATGAATGTCCGAATTTTTGTACGGATATTTTTTCTGATATGATTTCTAGTGAGAAGTTCTGATTATTTTGATTGGTGGTTGATGTCTTACTGAGCTGTTAGCTCATCCTTGTTTTCTGCGTGGTTTTCAGGTTCTGGGAAAGGGAAGGAGGTCTTGGACTAGACGTTCGGAGTCTGATCTGTGATTAGGTACTTGATACTTTTGATTTTTGTACAGTCATGACTTTTCTGTTATGTTCTGTTCTTTCTGTCCGTAAGCCATGTACTGTATCTGTATATGATTATTTTGATGAAAGAAAAGATAGATGAACTGCGCTGTGTTTGGAGGTTTATTAGTTTATAGTAGCTCTATTTTTTTCTGTCTGTTCAATATTTGGAAGAAAGTTCTGAAGCAAAATTTCAAAGCCAGATCCTGGATTTGTTTGGCTCCGTCGCGGCCTGATGCGAGCGGGATTCGTCCCGGTCGGGTTGGGTCGTGACATCCTCTACCACCAACAGGCGTCGGACTTCTACCTGACACCGGACTTCTACCGTTTATCGGACTTTCACTGGATGTTTATTCGATGATGGATTTCTTCCCATTGTTACACTTCTACTTGGCCATCCTTCTGACCTTCGTCGTCTGATAACAGTTCTTCAAACCTCCATCGCCCGCCGACTACGGCCCTCCTTACTTACATCGCCCACCGACTACAAGTCTTCCGACCTCCGTCGCCCGCCGACTACGGTCCTTTCGACCAAATGAACACATCAACAATGACTCTTTGTATTAATATCATGTAATGTACTCCATAAGATGTACATCAAGCTAAGGCCTTCCCCTAAAGAGAGACCTCATTTGTAATCAACTACAATACTAGAAGAATTTCTTCAACTGGGCTAGACCCTCTCTCTTATCTGATTGCATGCCAGATTTTCGTACATCGCTAAGACTTTAAATATGATATTTCTCTACCGTCGCGAATACTCCTGGACGCAACAGTTAGTATTCTAGTTTTTTATAATGTTTAAAATTTTTAAATAATTAAATTATAAAATGTCATGTTAATTTTTATTTGTAATGGTAGGGAGACTAATTTGGGGCCAATAAAGATTTATGATCTTAGATTAGATTGAAGAGTCATCATCGGTGTCATTAAAGTCAAATGTAATAATGGCATTAAAGTAAAAAATTAGTAATTGTTTACACTATGTAATGATTACTATTTTACAAGCATCATTAATTGCTATTAATTTAGCTTTCCAATTAAGTGGCCATCAATGAGAAAGATAATATTCTTGCTTTTCTACAAAGCTCCAAAAGAGATAGTCTTGTCTGCCACTTAGCATATGCTACTCTTCTAAATTAATCAATCAGATTTTTTTTAGGAACCTTTTATTGCTATCATGTTCAGTTTCAATTTCACATTTGAAGATGTAAATTTTATAATGGAGAATTAATTTTATATTTAAAAAATTGATGTATTATAATTAATTATATATGCACATACATATTTATCTTTAATTTGAATTCTAACAAATTAACCTAAGAGACCGATTTAATACAAATTTAATGTTGAAAGAGTAGACTCGCATCTAATGTAGTAAAAATTGGATTTGGAACTATAAGATTGATTTAATGCAAAATGGATGTCGTACGAGCGAACTTATACCTTACATGTGAAATGCTGAGATTATTGATTAGGAAAATATTTTGTAACATAAACTTGATATCGCAATGAAAATAGGATCCAAAAACTCTCGTAAAATTGATAAATATTAATAAATAGATATGGAATAGGCAATGGTTGTTTGATCAAGTTAGAATCATTTACAACCCTAATGTCCATTTAATTCATTTTATTATTGATCGATGCTTAGGACTATAAATGAATTAAATTAAGATAAGAATGATAATATTCAAAGTCATTCATTAGTTTTTATAGCAAATTACTTGAATTCAAAATCTTAATAAAATTTATTTTCAAGTTTTTTTCTTGAGTTCAAGAAAAAATTTAACTAATTATATATTTGATATTAATAAGTTAAACATATTAAAAAAAGCTTAAATCTGCCCTTTCAACTCATTTAAAAAGTTCAAAATTTTATTCAAATTTATTCAGTTATATTATATAAAAATAAATTAGTATCAAATTATTCATGATAACCAGAAAAAAAAGCATTCATTTTCTAGAGACTTCAGTCGTCAACTCTCTCTCTTATTCTCCGTTTACTTGACTTACGCTGTTCACATCTCCGCGAAGCCGTCGGATTTCAAAGGAACGGTCGAAATGAAGGCGTCCCCTTAACAAGACAATCATCTTATCTAATCTTTATCTCTTCCAAATTTCCAATCTCTGTTTCTCCTACTGTTCAGTTGTTCTGCTCTCTCTACCTCGATCATCGGTGCCATGGCGGAATGGTTAGTTGGTCCAATCATGGAGAAGATCATCAACGCTTGCTCTGATTACCTGGAAGAGCAAGTCGGATGGCAGACGGGCATGAAGAAGGAGCTGGAAAGCCTGCGAGAAAACCACCCGAAGATCCAAGCTGTCGTCTTTGCAGCTAACCAAGCACAAATTAGCGATCAGAACCCAGCTCTCAACAAATGGATATGGCAGCTAAGAGATGCTGTTGATGAGGCAGATGATGTGCTCGATGAGTTTGAGTACATGAAGCATAAACAACAGCTCACCAAAAACATGGAGGAAACAGATCAGGTGCGTTCTCTATCATCAGCTACCTATTTGATACTGGTTGCAAATAAATATATTTATTTGATAATCTATTTCTCCCTAATTTTATCAGAAAAGAACGGTGTTTTCCAACACGAGCTTCCTGATTGAAAGTGCTTCGAAAATTCGCAAAGTTGGCGAACGTGCTTTCAAGATTGATCCCAACTTGAAGAGGCTTGCGGAGGTTGTGCAGAAACTAGATAACGTTTCTGCTGGGGTTAGTAATTTTCTTCCTCTTCTAGATATCGCAAAACAGGGGCAGCAGGAGAAGCAGCGTCAGTTGTCCGAAGTACGTGAAACAGGATCCCTGCCTACTACAAATGATCTCATTGGGCGGAGCAAGGATATGGAGTCTGTTATGCAGTGGTTGAGGAAACCATCAAATGAGCCTCGGACAAGTAGGTTCAGAAACATTTCTCTTCTATCTATAGTGGGCCATGGTGGTATGGGAAAAACAACTCTCTTGCAACACGTCTATGAAGATGAAATTACAAAAGAATTTGATCTTAAAATGTGGGTTTGCGTTTCCAACAACTTTGATGTGAAAAGAGTCATGGCTGATATGTTGGAATCTCTTAAAATGCAGAAGCCTAATTTGGATTCACTTAATGCACTTCAAGGGCGTCTCAAGAATGAGGTGAATTCCAAAAGGTTCTTACTGGTTCTTGATGACGTTTGGGAAGAGGAGGAGGAACGGTATAAAAGTAAATGGGGGAATGTGCTCGCCCCTCTAGCTTCTGGAAGTTTTGGTAGTAAGATTCTGGTAACAACTCGGACGGAATCAGTCGCACTGATGTTTCAAAAAGTGATTCAAGACAAACAAAAACCAATGACATTAGAAGGCTTAGAGGAGGAAGAATGTTTGGAGCTCCTCAACACCCATGCGTTTGCTGTAGACGATCTTGATGATCAGAGAAAATTAAAATTAAAATCAATTACTGCAGAGATAGTTAAAAAGCTTTCAGGGTCTCCTTTAATAGCAAAGGTCATAGGCGGTGATCTGAATTCTAATTTGGATGAAGGACATTGGACAAGAGTTTTAGATTCTGTTCTTGAAATTATAAAATTGGGTCAAAATGATATCATGTCCGTCTTAAGATTGAGCTACGTACACCTCCCAGAACATCTAAAAAGTTGCTTTACATTCTCTTCCATATTCCCACAAGATTATCAATTTCGTAAAGGTACTTTAGTCCGACAGTGGATTGCATTGGGTTTCATTCAACCTTCTCATATTCAAGGAGAGATTATGGAGGATATCGGAGGAAGTTATTTTGATGTTTTGGTTAAAAAAAATTTCTTTGACAAGTTTGACAACAATTTTGGATATTACTATAAGATGCATGATGTAATACATGAATTAGCACAATCTGTTTCCATACATGAATGCTTAAGAGTTGAGGGTAGTACAAAGTTGCCTTCTCCAATTCCTAAGACTCTTCGACACTTGTATGTTAAAGATATAAATCCATACTTTATAAAAGAGATTGTGCAGTTTAAATATTTGCGTTCTCTTTTCGTGTCTTTTCTACCATCTTATCAAAATATTTGCGCACTTAGTGAAATATTCAGAGCATTGAGAAGCCTACGCTTGTTAGAGATATTTGGCCCACCCTTGAAAATAATACCTGAGGAGATTGAAAATTTGATACATCTTCGATGCTTAAGGATTAATGTTACAAATTTTATTATGCTGCCAAGATCTCTAAGTAAGCTCTATCACTTGCAATACATAATCTATGATTGGCCAATTAATGAGAAAGGTGCTGATTTTTTACCAAATGACATTAATAACCTTTGTAACTTGCGTTTTGTGAGATTTCCCAAGAATTGTATTTCATCGATATGTGAGATTGGGAAGCTAAAGTTTCTTCAAGAATTGATAATATTTGATCTTAGAGATGCGAGTGGTTATAGAATTGGGGAGCTGGAGAACATGAATGATCTTTGCAAATTAGGAATCAATTGCCTTGAAAATGTTAAGGATGCTGAGGAGGCTTGTAGTGCCAAATTATATGCCAAGAGGAGGCTCACATATTTAAGCTTACGGTGGAATAACACTAAATTGAGGAACATCAATTTATATGAGAAAGTGCTCGACAAACTTCAGCCACCAAAATGTCTAAGCGATCTGGAGATATATAGATACATGGGTGCAAGGTCTGCTATATGGATGAACAACGTCAATCTTATCTCCAATCTAGAGGAAATCAATTTGACAGACTGCTTGGAGTGGGAAACTCTTCCACCTTTTGGGCAACTTCCCTTCGTCAAGTCACTGAAACTTGAAAACATGCCGAAAGTAAAATGGCTCCAAAGTAAATATAATGGGAATGATAAATACCGTGCCTTTCCATTGCTAGAGGTGTTACATATTGAGAAATTAGAAGCATTAGAGGATTGGTTTGAGGCAGGAGTAGCTGCTGAAGATGGATATTTGTTTCCTTGCTTAATTAAACTGGAGATATTTGGCTGCCCGAAGTTGAAAGAGTTGCCCTCTTTGCCTTCTAAGCTTAAGAGGTTGACGATGCGATCTACGGCGTGGACGACTTTGAATTTTTGTAGCAATTCGAATCCTATCCCCCTTGAATCATTATGGGTCGATCGCTGTCCTAACATTACATCTCTTCCTCTGGCTGATGAAATAGCAAGACTTGCAGCACTAAGATCCTTGACAATTTTAAATTGCCCCAATCTGAGATCTCTCGGAAGATATCAAGAATTGGAGACTGCTAATAATTGCCATCTCATGCTCAACAATCTCTGTATACGTGATCCATTGTTGTTGCTAATGGAGCCATTGAGAAGTATCGCCTCCTTATTAAAAGAGCTGAGTATTTGGGATAATGATGAGTTGGTTTTATTTCCAAATGACGCGGAGCAGTGGTTTCTGAAAGTTAGGTCTTCTCTTTCTGAGCTAAGATTTGAATGGCTCAAATCCTTACAGTCTCTCCCTTCCTCCTTGGAAAGCTTATCTTCACTTCAGAAACTACATATTGATGATGTTCCTATGCTTCGGGAATTACCGAACCTTCCTTCCTCTTTAGAATATCTATATATTTGGGGATGTCATCCAGAGTTGAAGGAGCGCTATCGAGAGGATGGAGGCTCCGATCGCCACAAGATTGCTCACATTCCGAATATCTATATTTCTACACAAGCAAACTTCTTTTTACGTAAGTACTTATCTTATTTGTTTGATATCCGTATTTTTTAATGCAATCTCAGCATTAATCAGTTTGTAATATGTGATGTGATCCTTGTGCAGGACCGGTGGCACGTGGAAGATGAGCAAAAATGAATACAGCAATAGAAGAGTTAATAGGAAAGGAGAAATATCTCTGTATATTATGTATTCTATTGAGCAAGAGCTCTTCTGTAAAAAAGATAACAAAAAGACTGTCCTCCTCTTCCTCTTTCACCTATATGTAATTCCTCTATTTTCCCCTTTTAGCTAATAAGTAAAAAAGGTTTTAAAAGTAACAACCTATCAAAACAGAAAGTGAGGTAGTGGGAGTATTAGGCTTCGTTTGGGACGGCTTTTTTATTGCTTTATAAAACGGAGTTTTAGTACAAAAATAAAAAAATTTGTACTAAAACTCCGTTTTAGAAAGCAATAAAAAAGCCGTCCCAAACGAAACCTTAGTTTGTTAGTCTTTGTAAGATGTTCCTCTGTTATTTAATACTTATCCTGTAACCGGCAAGGCATCATGATGTACTCAGTTTTATTTATGTATCTCTCGATATACTCAACTTTATATATAAATATATTCTTCTTTTAATATTCCATTATATATGTCATGGATTATTCACAGCTAAAATTTAAATAGTTCTTTTTTATTGTTTATTGATTTCTCGAAATGAAATAATTATTGAACTATTATTTAATTTTGATTTTATGTTTTTGAGTTTGTAAAAACAAAATAAATATTAATGATCAGTCATCTTTAATCTTTTTTTTTTTGACAGTTTTAGCAACCTTCACATTAATTTTGTTTATTAATTTATTTATTTTTTTAGACACATGCTAACTTCTTATCTGGAAGAAGTGGAAGTAGAAGTTGAAGTTGAAGCAACGGCTCTCATTTAAAAATTTTATTGTCATTGCACCAATAGCTATAATTTGATCTCATTAATTTTATGATATAAAAAAGAAAACTACTCTTAACGCCCAACAATTTCTATCTTGCATTACTACTCTTGATTGTTGTTTTACAAGAGTTGTATTAAAAATGAAAAGATTAAGGTTTTAATATTTTTAAAAGAAATTTTTTAGTAAAAAATTATAGTTGAAGAAATTCTTATACTAAAAAGTTGCTTTTGAAAGAATTAATAAATACATTTCAAATAACGCTTAATAAGTCTTTGTTTGTGATAGCTTTCATATTGTTTTATAAAATAGGTTTTTAGTATCAAAATTACAATTAAAAAAAAATTGTACGAAAGTGTTGTTTTCAAAAGCAGTAAAAAAGTTATCCCAAATTACTAATAACTTACCTATATCTCCGTAACAACCAAATTAATAAGTAGTATTATTAATTTATTGAATATATTAAAACATTTTAAACCTTGTTAATGTTTATGGTGTTTAAATCTTAATTCATTTATATAAGCTTAAGAACTTAGTTAAAACACATCCAAACCGTGTTAATGTTTCTTTCCTCTCTGTTATCTTCTTCACGATTCTTGATCCTGTTTTCTACACTTATCTTCACTTCAGAGTCTATATATTTATGGTCTTCATATGCTTCGGGAATTACCGAACCTTCCTCCCTCTTTGAAAAGTCTATCAATTTGTTTTTGTGATCCAGAGTTAAAGGAGCGCTATCGAAAGGATGGAGGCTCCGATCGGCACAAGATTGCTCGCATACCTCGTATCCATTTTTCTTCCGAACGATAATAGGTGACGCCGGAGCTGAACCTGTTGATCTTTCGTTTATTGTATTTTGTTGTATGTAGCTTTTGTCCTGTTTTAATTTCTCTGTTACTTTTCATGTAGCGCATGCTGTTTCACGGCTTATATAAGCCAAGGCAATAATACAAATGAGGCGGAGCAGTGGTTTCTGAGAGTTAGTTCATCTCTTTGTGAGCTCGAATTTAGATGGCTGAAATCCTTACAGTCTCTCCCTTCCTCACTTGAGCAACTATCTATTTATTGTGGCGTTCGTATGCTTCTGGAATTGCCGAACCTTCCTCCCTTTTGAAACGTCTAGCAATAATTGGGGATTGTCATCCAGAGTTGAAGGAGTGCTATGGACAGGATGGAGGCTCCGATCGGCACATGATTGCTCACATTCCGAGTATCAATATATAAGCAATCTTATTTGTTTTTTTTTTTTGGAACATTTAAGTCATTTAAGGCAAACTCACACACACAACGCATACACATACTCACATTCCGAGTATCAATATATAAGCAATCTTATTTGTTTTTTTTTTTTTTTTGGGACATTTAGGCCATTTAAGACAAACTCACACACACAACGCATACACATAGACTCGAACCCCGAACCTCTTAGTTGGAAGCCTAAGCTCTCAACCAATAGGCCAAGGAGAGTTGTGTAATCTTATTTGTTTGATATATATGAAATGTGAAGAATGCATAATATTTTAGCATGAACCAGCTGTCGATGTACTCAATTTTATTTATGTAGTACTTGGTGGTACCTTTATTTATAAATATATTTTTCTTGCTGAAATCTAAATAGTTCTGTTTAATTTCTTATTGATTTAAACAATCATTGAATTATTATTTAATTTTGATTTTATGTTTTTGAGTTTGCAAAAATAAAATAAATTTTAATGATCAGTCATCTTTAATTAATTATATATATATATATATATATATATACTTGTGGGAATTCGGTATATATATATTGCACTTTCAGCAACCTTCACATTAATTTTGTTTATTGATTTATTTCTTTTTAGTGGAAGTTGAAGCAACGGCTTCATCTGAAAATTTTATTGTCATTGCACCAATAACTATAATTTGAACTCATTAATTTGATATGATAAAAAAGGAAAACTACTCTTAATGCACAGCAATTTCTTTCCTGCATTACTATTCTTGATTCTTGCTTTACAAGAGTTAAATTAAAATGAAAAGTTTAAGGTTTCGATTGGAATTGTTTTTTTTTATTATTTTTAAAAGAAAATTTTTAATAAAAAATTCTAGTTGAAGAAATTATTGTACTAAAAAGTTGCTTATGAAAGAATTAAGAAATACAATCCAAACATAGCTTAATAAGTCTTTGTTTGTGCCAGCTTTCATATTGTTTTATAAAATAATTTTTAATACAAAAAATACAACTCAAATAATTATACTTAAAGGTTGTTTTTAAAAGCAGGAAGAAAGTTATTCCAAATGACTAATAACTTACATATATCTCAGTTACAACAAAATTAATAATTAATATCATTAATTTATTGAATTTATTAAAACATTTTAAAGCTTGTTAATATTTATGGTGTTTAAATCTTAATTCATTTATATAAACTTAAGAACTTAGTTAAAAATCATCCAAATGAAAACATCATTACAATTTATTAACAGATTTAATATTAACAAATGAAAAGAATTTGAACTTGCAATCTTAAATGTTTCTCCTTGTAAATTTACCTTTAACAAATTCTTTAAAAAAACACCATTGTCATATTATTTCATTATTGCATTCGTAGATTAACAATTTTTTTTCTTTTTTTTTCTTTTCAAATGACTGGTTCAGTCAATAATTCGATCCAATAACACACCAACGGATTCTCTAATTTTCTTTATAGCGTCTAATTATTTGAGAACAGTGCTGCAAACGAATTGAGTCGAATTCAAGTCATACCTAATTCAAACTTTACTCAAGCAGTCGAACATAAGTTTGTTATTGACATAAATAGCTTGAATTTTCTTGAGCTCAGCTCAAGAGCTAGTTAAAACTTACGCGAACTAATTAATAATTATTGAAGCTAGCACATGTTACCTGCACCTCTATCAAAGAATTTCAAATTCCTTTAAAAAAACAAAATAACGACCAATTACAAATATAAATTTATTATTTTTATGCTCAGCTTTATTACTTATAATATTTTTGTATTTTCAAATAATATCAACTATACTATCACTATTAAAAGAGTAAATAAAAAAATACAAAGTTATTATAGAAAAAGAAAGCTGAGCATAAAAATAATAAATTTATATTTTTCTTACTAAAAGGAATCATCACAAGTTTACCATACCTGATTTCTTACCACTTTCAAGCTAAAGCCTGATTGAATGCATATTTCTCAATGTTTCCTACTTTGAAGTGGCTAATAGAAGCTGACCGACTCCTCGAAAGCCCTCTTTGATACCATTAATGTTATTGTACTGCTACACAATCAAAAGAAAGAACAATCTCAGATTTGACCATAATGAAGTCAGATCTCAGATCAACATTAAAGATTAGCAGCACCAGGTTTCCAATTTATGCAGGGAAGCAGATACAACATAGACACGAGAGAGAGAGAGATGCTATAGCGTTCACAAAAGTTCGACAAAAACTAGTGGCACATTGTCACTTCAGTAGGTAACAAGTCTCCCTAAACAAAATAATATATGTATGGAATTGTATTGTTTTCAGTTGTCGAAGCAAGGGATTGTATTATAAAATATTAGTTTACAAAAAATCATTTACAAGCAAAAAAATGAGGTATTTTCCATTAAATAATAATTTTATATGGAATTCAATTAATGCAGGACAATCAACGATGACTTTACCTCTGAACAGAACGCCCAATTCCTATTTTAAGGAAAAGTTTGTAGTTTCTACAGGAAATTACCCACAATGATTGGTGAAAGGCATTAGCTCTGTTCCGCAAAAAGCTATACACAAGTGTGACCTCCTCTATATGTGTATATGCATGTGTGTACATGGTCTATGAAAGGGTAATGGTGAACCCAATGCATAAGAGCTTGATTTATGCACAAACTGTATTTCAAATAGATTGTTCTGTCAAGCTGACTAAATGCAGGTTCAATACATCCTCTATAGTTTGCTCCTCTGAGCTTCATAGAAATTACCCCATGGTCCATGCTAGCCTCTCCTACAATTCCTTTTTCAAGAAACATTTGCAGTTAAGACTTAATTTCACAACTACTACTAAATAATTTGTTTGTTCTAGGAAGTGATTTGATAGAATTCTACATCATTAAATCTAAAAATTGTGATTTTTTAAATATTTATAAATTATGCTTCTCAAAAATGGTTGGAGACAACTATCACGCTGGAAACAGGTCATTTTTTTGCTTCAAGAAGCTTTGGATGCTTGGCAACGCATAGTTAGAAAATGACTATGATGTAACTGTAACATAAGTTCATCAACTCAACTTCTGCTAGTATTTTTTTTCTACCAATTTTTCCCAAAGTTTAGCTTTTGATTTCAAGTAGATTAACTAGCCTAATCTCGATTAATATTGTATTTTTCCTCTTAGTTAAACAAATGAGTAAAAAAAACCCAAATATTATTCATCTTCCAATCTACCATTACAAGCATTGGATACAAGTATTTATTGACAATTAAAGCAACATAAAAGACTACATGCCACCATAAAAAATATTATATCTATATAACCATACAAACTATCCAATGGAATTAAATTATCCCTGAAGTTAATATAATTAAATAGCTCAGATCGTTTACTTGCAACTCGATTGCTTGAATGGGGGGGATGACATATCCTTTAGATTGCTTGAATGGGGGGATGACATATCCTTTATTTGCAATTGGATTGCTTGAATGGGAGGATGAAAGATCCCTTAGATTGCTTGAATGGGGAGATGACAGATCCGGATCCTACAAGCTAACATTATTCCTTTTTGTTTTCCCTTTAAATGGCAGCTAGCTTGTGTTGAGAGCACAATTTTTGCGTGGTGGGAGGAATACAAAGTGAGAGTTGAGAAGAGAAATAGACAAGCCAAGTGAAGTTTCTGCCATCTTTAAGGTTAGTTCTGAAGAATTTTAGAATGTTGTTGATTTTTTTAATATGTTATTTAAAAACTTTTGTTGAGAGTAGTAAATATTTATGAAGAAAAGTATTAATGTGTTTTGTTTACTTATGAATTATGTTAAATATTTATGAGGTAATGTTACAGAAACTAGTGTTTATAAATGTTAACCATTTATGAATTTCTACAATTTTTTTTAAAATGTTAGTTTTTTTGAAGGAAAATAACAAGTATGTGGAAAAAAATATTTAATGGCACATATACATTATAAAGCGTTACTTTATTTACGTTATATTTAGTATTTTTTGTTAATATAATAAATTGGAAAAAGAAATTTTAAGATACAGAGAATGTGTTTAAGAAAAAAAATTTAGAAATATGTTTTTAAGAAAAAAAATTTATCTATATTTAATATTAAGCAAGAAATTTAATATTGACAAAAGTAAATGCAAGAAGAGAGAGAAAAAGGCGGAGATGGAGAAACACAGAGATTTTAAATATTAAAACTTTCAAATATTTAATCAAATTTTAATTAACTTTATGCTATATTTAATATTATGTGAAAATTATTATATTTAATATAATGTGAAAGTAAATATTATTATGTGAAAATTAATATGTTAATTAGGGGTCTCAATTCGGGTCAGCATGTCGGATTCGGGTTGAACCCGGAACAGACTTGATACTATTCTATTTATTTAAAATAAATAAATAGAAAGTAAGTAAAATTTACAGTTTATAGCGTATATGTGTCTGTAGCAAAAATCGCAGCAGAAGTGCGCATAAATTGAGTTTTGTGCTGAAAACGCAATTCAATCTTCCTTTGAGTTCTACAGAAAATGCTATCAGCTTTTGCTAGCATGACCCTTTTTAAATTTAATTTTATTTAAATTCCTTTTGTTAATATAATTTTAAAGCATGATCCTTTTAAAAATTTAACTTTTTGTGGGAGCACCATTACAACTTTATAGGTTGTTTATCTTTTAAATCACACTTGTTATTTCCTTTTAAATGAATGAAATGGGTTCATCACAAAATTTTATAAAAAAAAAAATACATGATAATACAAAAAGAAGATTACAGTACCATGCTTATGAGAAGAAACAAGAAGACGATGAAGAAGAAGAAGCAGGAAACGAACAGAGGAAGTAAAGAACCAGAGAAAAGATATATATTATTATTTAGGTAAATACAGAGATGGTCTTAAATAGACCCAAGATAGGCAAAACCGTAAATACAACAATAACCGTAATTTAGGAAAATACATTTATATGCTAATATCCTCCCTCAAATTAAGCATTTGTGGGACAAATGGTTAATTTGTTGCGTAAATCAATAAACCGAGAGAGCGAGAAGGACTTTGTGAGAATGTGAGCAACTTGATCCGTAGAAGAAATGTGCTCGAGCTTGATGTTGCCAGAACTAATTTGATGACGAATAAAGTGGTAGTCGATCTCAATATGCTTAGTTCGGGCATGAAAGACCGGATTATTGGCAATGGCTATTGCCGATGTGTTGTCGCAATGAATCGTAGTCGGAGATTGCTGTGAGAGATTAAGTTCCTGGGCTAGTCGGCGAAGCCAGACAACCTCCGAGACAGCTGGGGACAAAGAGCGATACTCCGCTTCAGTAGAAGATTTGGCGACCGTGACCTGCTTTTTGACCGTCCAAGAAATTAGATTAGGTCCTAGAAAAGTACAAAATCCTGAAACTGACTTCCGGTCTGAGGTATCGGACGCCCAGTCGGCATCAGAATAGGTCCGAAGATCCATGGAGCCGGCTGTAATCGGCAAGCCATATGAAAGCGTGCCTTTGATGTAGCGAAGTATGCGAGTTAGTGCTTTGAAATCATGAGCAGTAGGAGACTGCATATGTTGACAAACCCGATTTGTAGCAAAAGCTATATCCGGTCTTGTGATAGAGAGATATTGTAGAGATCCTGCGATACGGCAGTATAGGGACGGGTCCGAATATAGTTGCGGAGATGAGTCTCGCTGTTTGGAGTCAGGTACCACCGGTGTTGGAACAGCTTTGCAATCTTTATAGCCTGCATCATTAAGAATTTTAGTGGCGTAGTGCTCTTGAGACAAGAAATAACCTTGTTTTGATTGGATCACCTGGATGCCGAGAAATAGGTGGATGTTGCCAAGTTGTTTAAGAGCGAACTGTGTTTGCAATTGTTGGAGTATATGAATCGCTTTTTGATCATTACTTGTCACTAAGAAATCGTCAACATAAATGAGAATATAGATTTGAATATTGTTTTTATTGAAAATAAGGAGCGAAGGGTCGGAGCGAATGAACCCGAAACCATGTTGTTGCAGAAAGGTTGTTAACTTTTGGAACCACTGTCGCGGTGCTTGTTTTAAACCATAGAGAGATTTATGAAGCTTGCATGCCGCCTGTGGTTGATCGGGATCAGTAAAACCTGGTGGTTGGCGCATATAAATATCATCGGGAAGATCTCCATGCAAAAAGGCGTTAGAAATATCAAGTTGATGAACAGGCCATTGTCGGTGTAATGATAGAGCAAGCAGCATTCGGATTGTAGGCATCTTTGCAACTGGGCTGAACGTTTCATTATAATTGATTCCAAATTTCTGATCGTAGCCAAGTGCAACTAGTCTTGCTTTGTAGCGGTCGACTTGTCCATTTGGGAGATATTTGATCTTATAGTGCCATTTACAGCCGAGCACTGGCTTGCCCGAAGGAGCTGGAACAAGTGTCCAAGTGGATTGCTGTTGAAGCGCATCAAATTCTGCCTTCATTGCCGCACACCAATGTTCCATTTTGAGAGCTTGGAGATAAGTAGTTGGAGTGATAGGCGGATTGACTTGAGCAATAAGATTGAACACCGGCTTTGGTTTGAGAATCCCAGATTTCAAACGAGTTTGCATCGGATGAACATGAGTGGTAGTGTGAGTTTGAGGAGGAGTCGGGAGCGGAGCCTCAGGGATAGGTCGTGATATAGTAGGAGAAGTGCACTGTGGTGTGGTAAGAGATGGTTCCGTGAGAGAATGGGAGGTAGAAGCGAGAGATTGAGGTGGTGTGGTATTGACAGTAGACACGGGTTGAAGTAAAAGAGGTGAAATGTTAGATGGAGAATCCTGATGATCCTTAAACACAGTGACATGGCCGCGGTTTAGAGGAAAAATGTGTTCATGAAAGACAACGTGTCTGGAAATGTACGTGCGACCGGTGTTTGTGTCGTGACAAAGGTAGCCTTTGTGGTGAGGAGCATAGCCTATAAAGACACAGGGGTAGGATCGTGGTTCGAATTTGGTCTTGGCATAAGGCTTGAGCCAAGGATAGCATAGGCAGCCAAATTTGCGCAGATGTGTATACTCGGGTGCTTTGCCAGTAAGAAGTTGATACGGGATTTTGTAGGAAATAGAGCTAGACGGCAGTTGATTAATTAAGTAATGAGCCGTGGCAAGAGCAGAAGTCCAGAATTTAGGAGGTAAACCGGATTCATGAAGAAGAGCACGTGTGATGTCCAGGAGATGTCTGTGTTTTCGTTCTGCAAGACCATTCTGCTCCGGCGTGTGAGGACAGGTAAGCTGATGGATGGTTCCATGTTCGTGGAGGTAGGAGCGAAAAGCGTGACTGGTAAATTCACCTCCGCCATCTGATCGAAGAATTTTAGGTGTTGTATGATATTGAGTCCTGACAAGATTACAAAAATGTTTATACATTGCAAGAGCGTCATTCTTGGAATAAAGAAAATACAACCACGAAAAACGAGTGTAATCATCGATAAAGATAATGTAGTAGCGGTGACCGTCCAGAGAGGGATGCGGTGCCGGCCCCCAAACGTCCGTGTGCACAAGCTCGAAAGGTGTATTTGTAATAGAATTTCATTTATTAAAGACTAATTTGTGGCTCTTAGCCTGATTACAAGAATTGCAAGTAAAGAAACGATGTACAGATTGAATTTCGGGAAACATGTTAGAAAGCATATGAAGTGTGTCTTTATTAGGGTGACCCAGCCGAGAGTGCCAATGGTTGGAGGCGTTGGAGGTAGCCGCAAGCGCCATGTTCGGTTTGGTCGGGACAACACTGAGATGGTAAAGACCGTATTGCAGATGCCCATGAAGCAGAGGACGGTGGTCCCGAGTGTCCTTGATAACAAAGCCGTTAGCATCAAATGAAATAGAAACAAAATTATCGGTCGTAAGTTTTGAGACGGAAAGGAGATTGTGGGTAAGAGATGGAACATGTAATAGATTATTCAGTTTTAACTTACGAGCAGTGTCCGGCAAAGGAAGAAGACCTTGACCGGCATTGTTGATGGGAAGAGAGTTACCATTGGCTATCGAAACCGAATCAGATCCTTGATAAGTCGTCGGGTAGTAGAGCTGAGAGGCATCCGGAGTTAAGTGAGTAGAAGCACCTGAGTCATGAATCCAATCTTGACTAACCGGGGTAGGCGGAGTGGCCAAAAGAGCCCGTGGCTGACGAGTATCAGTCGGAGCATATTTGGGATTGTTCCGGTGCCAACAGTTGAGAGCTATATGGCCTAATTTGCCACAAATTTGACAGGTAGGCCTGGATGAAGATTGCGGCACTGGATTGGCTTGCGGGGAGACGGTGGCCGGAGGAGCTGGTTGTTGTGTCCTGGGTTTGTTGAATCTCCTATTGTTGTTACGCGTACTGGGCTTGCCAGAAGAAATTGTATAAAGAGCCGTGAGATTGGGGTTGGTGGACAGATCTTGACTATGTTCTTGTTGCAGATGAATTTCCTCATTGCAAAGAAGAGCATAAAATGTGTCAAGATCAATGGGCAGAAGCGAATTGCGGATAGTTGATTTGTAGGAATTGAAGGAATTGTAGATCGGAGGAAGACCGTTAAGAATATGAAGCATAACGTCTTCCGATTCGATCTTGGAGCCAGACGCCGAAATATTGTCAACAAGAGTCTTTATGCATGTAAGGTACTGTTGAACCGATAGATCCTTCATTTGGGTGCGGTAGAGCTCGTTCTTGAGCTGAATCACGCGGGAACGACTGGTCGGTTGAAGTCGTTTTTCCAGGACAGTCCAGGCGTCGTGAACAGTAACCGACGTGATGATGTAAGGAAGAATGGTTTGAGAAACCGTAGAAAAGAGTGCGGAGAGGAGATTACTATCAATGATGAGCCATTGATAGACCCAAGATAGGCAAAACCGTAAATACAACAATAACCGTAATTTAGGAAAATACATTTATATGCTAATAGTTTATTGTAATTTCTTTTCTCTATTGTGGTATTATATGCAAACAAATGAATTGAAGAGTCATGATTAGTGTCATTAAAGTCAAATGAATTGATGGCATTAAAATAAAAATTAATAATTGTTTACAATATATAATGATTTATGCTTGAGTTGGTTCAACTAGAATTGAATTAGCTTGGATCTAATTAAATTGAATTCAGTTGGTCTAATTCAATCACATAATGCTAATCTTGATTGATAAAGTATGTTTAAAAATATATTTTAAAAATTAATGATGATAAAAATGATTAAATATGCATGAGAATCTCATAACTCATTTGAATTTGATCTCTTCCTCTTTTTCACTCTGTCCTTTTTTACTTGTAAATTTTATCAGTTTGTATCTACCATTTCTTGTGTTTAAATTAATTTATAGACATACTTTAAATAGTTTAGTTTTTGACTTACTACTCTTGTTTGAGTTATATGACGCAAATGTATTGTTTATTATTCTCATGCTAATGTTGTGAATCTTTATGTTTTAAGAGAAGTTTTTGCCACTTCTCTTATTTATATGGGGTTTTTGTTTCAAAACAAACAAATTGAATTGGAATATCATATTTACAAACAATATAATTTAGAACATGATATCGAGATAAGAACTATAATATTTAAAGTCATTCATTTATTTTTATAGCAAATTACTTGAATTTAAAATCTTAATAAAATTTATGTACTAGTTCTTTTTTTTTTTTCAAAAATTGGAATATATTAAAAGAAGAAAAGATACAATCGAAGACTCCAAACAGGACCACAGCATTAGTGTACAAGTTTTTTTTTCTTGAGTTCTAGAAAAAACTTAACTAATTATATATTTGATATTAATAATGTAATTTTATTAAAAAAAATTAAATCAGCCCATTTAACTCATTTTAAAAAGTCCAAAATTTTATTCAAATTTATTCAATTATATTATATAAAAATATAAATTAGTATCAAATTATAAAAAAAACATTCATTTTTCTTACTTTATATATAATAATAAATAAAGTGATATTCCCGTCAAAAATCAAATCTCTCATTTATTTTAAAATACATTCATTTTTCCTATTTTATGACAGAGACTTCAGTTGGCTTACGGACTACGCGGCAGCTGAATCTTCTCTATCTCTCTCAATTAATAGAGACTACCCACTCTAATCTTCATTTCTTGATTTCTTCCAATCAATCTCCGTTTCTCCTACTGTTCAGTAGTTCTGCTCTCTTGTGTGCAAGCAATGGATGTGGCTGGATGGTTTGTTGGTCCAATCATGAGCAAGATCGTCGAAGCTTGCTCTGATTACCTGAAAGAGCAAGTCGAATGGCAGACGGGCAAGAAGAAGGAATTGGAAAGGCTGCGAGAGAACCACCCGAAGATCCAAGCTGTCGTGGACTTTGCTGTTAACAAAGCACAAACCAGCGATCAGAACCCAGCTCTCAACGAATGGATATGGCAGCTGCGAGATGCTCTTGATGAGGTAAATGATGTGCTCGATGAGTTGGAATACATGAAGCATAAAAAACAGCTCTCCAAAAACAAGGAAGAAGCAAAGGTGTGTTTTATATTTATTTTTTATATTTGATAATCTATCAGAAAAGAAAGCTCATCGATCAGCTTCCTATTTGAAATTCCTACTTGAAAAACAGTTGATCAAAAACAAGAAGCTGAGAAAGGTGCGTTCCATGATGAAATCCATGAAGAAAAGACTTGTCAAAATTGTCAAACGTGCTCTTAAAAGGGATCCCAACTTGAAGCGACTGGAGAAGGCTGTGCAGAAACTTGATAAAGTTTCGGCTGATGTTACTACTTTCCTTCATCTTTTAGAGAGCGCAAAGAAGGAACAGAAGGAGCAGGAGGTTGATTTCTACAAAGCACGTGAAACAGGATCCTTGCCTACTACAAATTATTTCATCGGGCGGGGCAAGGATAAGGAGTCTGTTGTGCAGTGGTTGAGGAAGCAATCAAATGAACCTCAGACAAGTAGGTACAGAAACATTTCTCTTCTATCTATAGTGGGCCATGGTGGTATGGGAAAAACAACTCTCTTGCAACACGTTTATGAAGATGAAATGACAAAGGAATTTTTTGATCTTAAAATGTGGGTTTGCGTTTCCAACAACTTTGATGTGAAAAAAGTCATTGCAGATATGTTGGAATCTCTTGAGAAGAAGAAGCCTGATTTGGATTCACTTGATGCGCTTCAAGGGAAACTTAAGAAGGAGGTGATGTCCAAAAGGTTCTTACTGGTCCTTGATGACGTTTGGGAAGAGGAGGAGGAACGGGATAAAAGAAAATGGGGGAATGTGCTTGCCCCTCTAGCTTCTGGGGGTTTTGGTAGTAAGATTCTGGTAACGACTCGGACGGACTCAGTTGCACTGATGTTTGAAGAAGTGATTCTAGAAAAGACAGAACCATTGAGATTAGAAGGCTTAGAGGAAGAAAAATGTTTGGAGCTCCTCAACACCCATGCGTTTGCTGTAGACAATCTTGATGATCAGAGATATTTAAAATTAAAACCAATTACTGCAGAGATAGTTAAAAAGCTTTCAGGGTCTCCTTTAGCAGCAAAGGTCATAGGTGGTATTCTGAATTCTAATTTGGATGAAGGGCATTGGAGAAGAGTTTTAGATTCTGTTCTTGAAATTATAAAATTGGGTCAAAATGATATTATGCCCGTCTTAAGATTGAGTTATGTACACCTCCCAAAACCTCTAAAAAGTTGCTTCACATTTTGTTCCATATTCCCACAAGATTATAATTTTGATAGAGATGCTTTAGTCCGACAGTGGATTGCATTGGGTTTCATTCAACCATCTGATCATATTCAAGGAGAGATTATGGAGGACATCGGAGAAAGGTATTTTGATGTTTTGGTTAAAAAAAATTTCTTTGACAAGTTTGAAGGATACTACAAGGTGCATGATTTAATGCATGAATTAGCACAATCTCTTTCCATATATGAATGTTTAAGAGTTGAGGATGGTGCAAATTTGTCTTCTATAATTCCTAAGACTCTTCGATACTTGTCTGTTAGCACTACAAATCAAGACATTATAAAAAAGATTGGGCAGTTTAAATATTTGCATGCTCTTTTCTTGTCCTATGAAGCTTCTATTCAGGATCTTTGCAATGCACTTATTAAAATATTCAAAGCATCGAGAAGCCTACGCTTATTATACATATGGACTCCAAAAGACTTGAAAATAATACCCAAAGAGATTGGAAATTTGATACATCTTCGATACTTAGAGATTAAACTTGAAGCTCTTAGTTTTCCTATGCTGCCAAGATCTGTAAGTAATCTCTATCACTTGCAATACATAATCTATAATGGATGGATGCCAGTCACCACTAAAGAGGATTTTTTACCAAGTGACATTAATAACCTTTCTAACTTGCGTTACATGGAATTGCCCAATACTTGTATTTCATCGATATGTGGGATTGGGAAGCTAAAATTTCTTCAAGAATTGAATATGTTATATCTTAGAGATGTGAGTGGTTATAGAATTGGGGAGCTTGAGAACATGAATGATCTTTTCAAATTAGAAATCAATTGCCTTGAAAATGTTAATGATGCCGAGGAGGCTTGTAGTGCCAAATTATGTGAAAAGAAGAGGCTCACAGATTTAACCTTAAATTGGAATGACACTGATTTGAAGAACATCAATTTATATGAGAAAGTGCTCGACAACCTTCAGCCACCAAATTGTCTAAGGAATCTGAAGATACGTAGATACATGGGTGCAAGGTCTGCTAAATGGATGAACAACGTCAATCTTATCTCCAATCTAGAGAAAATCGATTTGTGGGGATGCATGGCGTGGGAAACTCTTCCACCTTTCGGGCAACTTCTCTTCCTCAAGTCTCTGTACCTTTCTAAAATGCCGAAAGTAAAATGGCTCGAAAGTAAATTTAGTGGGAATGATAAATACCATGCCTTTCCATCGCTAGAAGTGTTACATATTACCCTCTTAGAAGCATTAGAGGATTGGTTTGAGCCAGGAGTAGCTGCTGAAGATGGATGTTTGTTTCCTTGCTTAATTAAATTGGAGCTATATTACTGCCCGAAGTTGAAAGAGTTGCCCTCTTTGCCTCCTAAGCTCAAGAGCTTGTGGATACATAGCAATATGGAGTGGAAGACTTTGAATTTTTGTAGCAATTCAATTCCTATTCCCCTTGAAACATTAAATGTCTGTAACTGTCCAAACATTACATCTCTTCCTCTGGCTGATGAAATAGCAAGACTTGCAGCACTAAGAGACTTGACAATTACAAATTGCCCCAATCTGATCTCTCTGGGAAGATATCGAGAAGTGGAGACCACTAATAATTGCCATCTCATGCTCAGCGATCTTACCATAAGTGATCCATCAGTGCTGCTAATGGAGCCATTGAGAAGTATCGCCTCCTTAAAAAAGCTGACTGTTGAGCGGAATAATGAGCTGGTTTCATTTCCAAATGAGGCGGAGCAGTGGTTTCTGAATGTTAGTTCATCTCTTTCTAAGCTGCAATTTAGAAGGCTCAAATCCTTAGAGTCTCTCCCTTCCTCCTTGGAAAGCTTATCTTCACTTCGGACACTACAAATTGAGGGCCTTCCTATGCTTCGGGAATTACCGAACCTTCCTCCCTCTTTGAAAAATCTAACAATTTATGGGGAATGCCATCCAGAGTTAAAGGAGCGCTATCGAGAGGATGGAGGCTCCGATCGGCACAAAATTGCTCACATTCCTGAAATCTATATTTCTACCTAAGCAAACTTCTTTTTACGCACGTACTTACCTTATTTGTTTGACATCCGTATTTTTTAATGCAATCTCAGCATTAATCAGTTTGTAATATTTGATGTACTCAATTTTATTTATGTATCACTCGATATACTCAACTTTATATATAAATATGTTTTTCTTTTAATATTCCGATTATATATGTCATGGATTATTCACAATTGTTCTTTTTTTATTTTTTATTGATTTCTCGAAATTAAATAATTTTTTAATTATTATTTAATTTTGATTTTATGTTTTTGAGTTTGCAAAAACAAAATAAATATTAATGATCAGTCATCTTTAATCTTTTTTTTTCAATTTTAGCAACCTTCACATTAATTTTGTTTATTGATTTATTTATTTTTTTAGACACGTGCTAACTTCTTATCTGGAAGAAGTGGAAGTGGAAGCTGAAGCAACGGCTCTCATTTAAAAATTTTATTATCATTGCACCAATAACTATAATTTGAACTCATTAATTTTATGATATTAAAAAAAAACTACTCTTAATGCCCAACAGTTTCTATCTTGCATTACTACTTGATACGTCATCATTAAATTATCTTGATCGGGCACGAATCTTGAGGAAAAACTCAAATCGGAAACTTCAAAAATTAAATTCAGGAGCACGTGAACTCCAATTTCAGCGGGTTTACTGTCAAACTGAGCGTCTCGGAAATACGAATCCAACGACACCAAGTTCGACCCAATCCGAGCCCAAATTGGTCTGAATTAATCATGGACCCGAAGCGATGTTGGAAGGTTCAAACCACAATTTGAGTTACCAAACGGACTCTGATTTTAACGATCTTATACTCAAATCGAACGGCTCGACGAGACGAATCCAACGAGCTCAAGATCAATAAATTCTAACATCATTAAGATCTTCAAATGTCCAACGAACGGTGCACGATTGTGGAATCCAACATCAGCCGTCCATTCGACCACTCCCTATTCGCCCTCGATCTCACGCCTATTTACAAGCTATGACACTCCAGAAAAACTATAAATAGAGCCCTCATTCTTCACAAAAGGGGACTCAAGTAAGAAGAGAAGAGGAGAAGAGGAGAAGAGGAGGAAGAAGCACCTCCTCGACCACCGCCAGGACCTCGCCGGACCACCGCTAGGACCTCGCCGGACCACTGCCGGAACCTCGTCAGACCACCGCAGGAACCTTGCTGGACCACCACAGGAACCTCGCCGGACCACCACCGAATCCTCGTCAGACCATCGCCGGAGTTTCATTGCACCACTGCCTTAAGGTCCGACGTTTAGTCCCGACGTCCTGCTGAAGGTCAAACGTCCTGCTTAAAGTCCGACATCCTGCTGAAGATCTGACGTCCTGCTGAATAACCAGACGTCTTGCTTAAGGCCCGACGTCCTGCTGAAGACCCGACGTCCTTCAGACCTGACGTCCTGCTTAAGGCCCGACGTCCTGCTTAAGGTCCGACGTTCAGTCCCTACGTCTTGCTAAAGACCTGACGTCCTGCTTAAAGCCCGACATTCAGTCCTGACATTCCGTTGAAGACCCAACGTCTTGCCTAAAGGACCGACCTTCAGACCCGACGTCCTGGTAAAGACCCGACGTCCCGTTGAAGACCCACCGTCCTGCCTAAAGGACCGACCTTCAGACCCGACGTCCTGCTGAAGACCCGACGTCCCGCTGAAGATTCAACGTCCTGCCTAAAAGACCGACCTTCGGACCCGACGTCCTGCTGAAGACCCAACATCCTGCTAAAGACTCAACGTCCTATTTAAGGCCCGACATTCTGCTCAAGGCCATACTACCAACTAACACATAAGACCCTCACCCTCGCTTCGCCAGATCATCATCAAAGGTTGTGTGCTCCTTCATGTATCGACTATTTCTTGTGTTTAAATTAATTTATAGGACATACTTTAAATAGTTTAGTTTTCGACTTTCCACTCTTGTTTGAGTTATATGACACAAATATATTGTTTATTATTTTCTTGCTAATGTTGTGAATCTTTATGATTTAAGTGGAGTTTTTGCTACTTCTCTTGCTTATATGGGGTTTTTGTTTCAAAACAAACAAATTGAATTGGAATATCATATTTACAAACAATATAATTTAGAACATGATATTGAGATAAGAACTATAATATTTAAAGTTATTCATTTATTTTTATAGCTTTACTTGATTTAAAATCTTAATAATTTATGTACAAGTTTTTTTTCTTGAGTTCAAGAAAAAACTTAACTAATTATATATTTGATATGAATAATATAAATTTATTAAAAAAATTAAATCAGCCCATTTAACTCATTTAAAAAAGTCCAAAATTTTATTCAAATTTATTCAATTATATTATATAAAAATATAAATTAGTATCAAATTATTCATCATAAGAAGATAA